AGGAAAGTTTAATTGACACACAAACTTGGTGGTCACCGTATATATTATACACGGTGCAATAAAAGCGGCAAACTGCCAAAGGTTGTTACCATGGCGCGTCCCTAAATAAATTGGTCATACAGCAAACAATTTATAAACGAATGTTTAGCAAGTTTAAACAGAACTAAAATCTCTATATTATTTTTGGTGATACTCTAATTTTTTGAATTACTTATTAGTAGCCTATATATTAATTATTATTAATCAACTAGTCCATCGGTCTATTATGAGGGCGACCATCCTAATCTAATTTGTAAGATTTAAACCCTGACTTTATTTAAAAAATTTAATACCTCATCATTTTAGACCGATTGATTGTTGGTTGATAATTCTCAAATTTGATAATTTTTAGATGGTTTATATATATATATATATACATATAATTTATATAAAGGCTTAAATGCATCATTGTCCCTAAAGTATATCATTTATACCGAGTTGTACCTTAAAATATTTTTTGAGACGTTTTGAAACTTAAAGTTTAAATCGTTATCTTATTTCCACCAACGGTTAACTATGTTAAAAAATATTAAGGGTAAAATATATATTTAGTCACCCAACTATTTATAATGGACTGTTTTATTCACTCAACTATTTTTTTGGTAACCTAATTATTTTCTTTTTCAAAATCATTCCTGAACATGTAGAAAGAACAACATGGTCATTAGCAATTCTTCTTCGTCCATGAATGTCCAACACTCACCATTAAAAATTAGACAATTTTATCAATTAAAATCAAATACAAGTTAACAAACCTTAAAAAAAGGCATGCAACTCTTTTCCCTTTCATTTTCTTCACCAAAACTTAACTCCACTCTCTTTTTCGCTCTTCAAAACCCTCCTCTAAAACTCGCCTTTCCAGTGATGCTTTTGAGGTTACAAGAGTAAAATTATCCCTTTGCAAATTAAAAAAAAAAAATCTATTCATATTCTCGTGAAATCGTCACGGAACTACATGTATATTCCGTCAAAGCAAACATCGCATTGGGTGTTGAATTGATTGATTTATATAATCCTCTTCAAAGCTTTGACACCTTCTCTAAATGAATATATACTTAAAAATTTTGTATATTAAACCTGGAGAGTAGCTCCTCTATCTTTTTCTTTGAAAAACAAAAAGTGTGTTGAGCTAGGCAGCCACCTTTGCTAAACAAAGCCTCATGCCTTGTCATCTAATTCAAAGAAAGAAAAGAAAAAAATGTCTCAAAATCTTACAAAACCAAACAACAGCTTCACTTGAAAGAGATCGCCGCTATGTACTTGTGGATTCCTCATAATTCTCGTCGTCATAGGTTTCTACACTGTCCATCACCCACCCAGAAATCCCAAACATACCTTCATTTTCCACCAATTATTCCTCTCTTCTGCCTCCAACTACATTGTCTCCTCCTACCTTCCACCCTCATCTCGCCGGCACCAAGCCTTCCCTCGAAACCATCCACTACGTTAAATTCCACTTTCAAAACCTTTGCTTCGAAACCCACTGTACCATTTCAGACCCTTTTGTCCTACCCTCCATCTCCATGCTTATATTTCAATGTATTTCAGTAACGACACCAACATAATTGCATAGTGATGGTTAAAAAAGATGGCGATTTAGGTAGAGACGCCGTTTAGGGAATAGCCGCATAGTGGCGGGTATATTGTTTTAGTGATGATTTTGAAAAGAAAAATAGTTTGGTGAACAAACAGAACAATAGGAATAGTTGAGTGACTAAATATATATTTTACCCTTGGCTTTTTTTAAAAGAATTAATAGTTTGGGGCAAATGAGAAAACAAATTAAACTTTAAGGGATAAAACATCCCCAAAAAATAATTTAAGAGTAACTCGATATAAACAATATAGATATTGATACATTTAAGCCTTATATAAATTTTGAATTAAAATGTACTTTAGTTTTGGTAGTAAATTTAAATTAAAATCAATATTTTTTAAATGTATTAACTTTACATTTTCTCTAAAATTTAAAGTGTTGATAGGGCAATTAACGGTATTAATATAATAGTTTAAATTGTTGATTAGATAATTCACGTATAAATGATGACATGATTGAATTTAAGAGTATAATTAATTTTAGGGTAAAGTATAGTAATGGTCACTGAACATTTCTGAAGCTTGCATTTAGGTACCCCAATTTTTAAAACTTGCAATACAGTCCCCCAACATTTATTCCGTTTGCAATATGGTCCCCCAACTTAAATAACTGTTAGAAAATAAGGGTAAATTATATAAACGGTCATTGAACTTTTTAGGCACTTGAATTTAGGTCCCCAACTTTTAAAATTTTCAAAACAGTCCCCCAATAATTTTATTTTCTTATTAAATATAGATGTATAGAAAATATAAATGATTCAATTTATATTTAAATGTATGAATCATTTATATTTTTGATATATTTTATTTTTCTTGTATAAACTAGTATTTAAAATATGTTTATATTTTAATCAAAATATTTCAATATACGAATAAAAATATATTTATATAAATGTATATTTATATTTAGATGTATAAATAAAAAAATATATTCATATATTAATGTATGAATCATTTATATTTTTGAATATTTTATTTTTAATAAGAAATTAAAATTATTAATTATATTAGAAATACTCAACTTAAGATTATATATATAATCATGAATTATAAATATGAAAATATAAATATTAAATTTAGTTAAAATATATAAATCTTAAATTTATTCTTTTAAAATATTGTATCAACTAATATTTAAAAAATATATTAAATCTATCAAACAATTTATCAAATATAATATTTTTTATTGTAAAAAAATATAATATTTTCCCATCATTTATTGCTTTCAAATTTTTTGCCGAAGTTCAAATCTCATTATTTCCGTTTTCCATTATATTCTTTTTTTCTGGCATTGGTCATACTATTAGTATATGTATTATTGTATATCTCTTAACACAAACGATGGTGTTAGCTTAGTGGCTCCACCCTGTATCTTTCATTTGCGTGACTCAGGTTTGAGTTTGCCCAAGACCCAAATTTTACTTCTTTGTAACTTAATTTCTTCTAATTAGGTGGTGACAGGTGTCACCAATAACATATATCATGATCATGTGTTAACATATGTCAGATCTGGTTAAATGATTAATTTATTAAATTTTATTTAATTTAGGACCAAATTGATAGCATATATAAATAATTAGGTGGTGACATGCGTCACCAATGACACGTGTCATGATCATGTGCTAACACATGTCAGATCCTAATTAAATGATTAATTAATTAAATTCTATTTAATTTAGGACCAAATTGATTATATAAATAATAAAGATTGAATGTATAATAATGTCAATTCCTTTTAACTGCCACTTCATCATTTGTATCAATTGGTAACGACTAGTGGCTTAGTTGAAATAGTTAAATAATTATGTTGTATGATTGATAAATTTAAAAGATCGATGACAAAAGTAAAAAGGGCTAGATAGTTAAGTTGTCAACCTAGTAGTTTACACTTTTATTTATACGTCAAAATAACATTTTATAAATTTAAAATTCGAATTATTTTTAACCTCTTCTATATCCTAACTACTTTTTTAATTAAATTTTTTTTTCAACAGATAAGAATTATACTATTATATTTATATAAAAAATACGTATCACATGAAATAAGATGAAATAAATAATAATAAATCTGACATAATTGAATTAATTGAATTATTTGGAATTTAGGGTTGAGAATGAAATTGAATTACTTTGGAAATTGGGGTTTAGAATGAAATTGAGGACTGTTTTGCAAGTTTTAAAAGTTGGGGGACCTAAATTCAAGTGTCTGAAAAGTTCAATAACCTTTTATATAATTTACTCTAATTTCTAACGGTGGTTTAAGTTGGGGGACCATATTGCAAACGGAATAAATGTTGGGGGACTGTATTACAAGTTTTAAAAGTTGGGGGACCTAAATGCAAGCTTCAGAAATGTTCAGTGACCATTACTATACTTTACCCTTAATTTTAACTAAAATTTTAAGAATTTATTTACTTTTTAATTAAAAAATTAAGAATAAAAGAAATAGTATTAGAATATGTAACAATGGTTGGTTCAAGTGGTAAGTAGTTTGATATACAGAAAATCCCTACTAGGAGACTCACCCACCAAAGTCAGGTGTGCGACGCGAGTAAGTCCGGATTAGTGAAGACAAAACCTTAGAATCGGGAGGGAAACCATAAAAAAATATTAAAATTATTAGAATAAAAATATTATCAAAATAAAAAAAAATTATATTTATTTAAATTTCATTTATTAAGGTTATTTAAAGTATTTTTTAAAAAATAGATTGATTAGAATATAAAATCAAATAAAATAAATAAATTCATCCTAAAGATAATATAATATATATTTGAATTAAAAGTAATTTTAAATTATTTAAAATCCATTAGTTAGTCGAGTGATAAATGATATTTATATTGTCTTTTCTTATAATACTTCTCCGTTTAATGAAAAATTTTAATATAAAATTAAACCATAAAACTTTTAAAAATCCTAAATAATGATGCTTTTCATTTGATTTTAATGAAAATTTCTATTTTAAAAAATAAAGTAAATTAACAGATAATAAAATTTTCCCTTTTAAGTGTGTAATCGAATCTAAATAAAGATATGTAAGAATATATCAAATCTAGATTTATTAGAATTAAAATAAAATAAAGTATAATTTTAATATTTAATCTTCAGTCAAATGTATATTTTTATTAATTATATGAAATATTTATTTATCATTAACATTAAACTTTTAATATTTATTATAACAGTGTTTTATTAAATTATTGAATGAAAAGCTGAAATTAAATTTTAACCTATACAGTAATAGAGTTTAAAACAAATTAACGGCATCACTAACATGTAGCTAAATAAATAATTATTTATTTGACCTAATTTTAATGCAAACAAACTCTTACGCCTTTATCGTTATCTCGTTACTTCACTCTTTTGAAAAATTCAAACCCTAATCTCTCAACACAGATTTCAGTGGAAGGAGAAGAAGGAAAAAAAAAAACAAAAACAAAACCATAGTTTCAATGGAAACAAGAGCTGCGAAACGAAAGAGGTTTTGGTTTGAAAGCGAGAATGGGATCGACAGGATCAGTGATCTCCCAGATGTTGTTCTCCATCAAATTCTATTCCATCTCCCAATCAAAACCATAGCACAAACAAGCGTCTTATCAAAAAGATGGAGATCGTTGTGGATATCGTTTCCTGATCTTGATTTCACCTCCATTAATACAATTGGAGTTTATTCGACGAAGGTGAACCCAGCGAGTACGGTGAAACGATTATTAACACCACCTCATTCTTTGTCTAATAAACGATTGGACTTCATTAGCCAGGTATTAGCTATCCGCGACAAGCATTCCGATCTAAGGATCCTTCGTTTCCGTGCTCCTTTGAGTTTTTCACGTCTAAATGGCTTGATCCGTCTTGCCGTAAGGCAAAATGTGCAGGAATTAGACGTAGAAGTCACCACCGACGATTACTTTAATTTCCCACGAAGCGTTCTCACCAGTGAATCCTTGCGGGTCTTCAAGTTGAGATCTAGTTATCCCGGTTTCCGGTTACCGCCTCCCTCGGTTATGAAAGGCGGTTTCCGATCACTCCACACCTTATCTTTGTCTCTCGTCATCTTATACACCCAGCCCTCGCTTTCGGATTTGTTCACGGATGCGTCGTTTCCTCGGCTCAAGAAATTGAATCTCGATACATGCTTTGGGTTGAAACATCTTAAGGTCAGTTGCTTGGTCCTCGAAGATTTGACACTGGAGAAGTGTTTTCAGTTAATTGGGCTGGATGTTTCGGGTGCAAGATTAAAGAGATTGAGAGTTGCAAGCTGTTTTGATGCAAAATGTGGGGAGAGTTGGGTGAAGATGAATGCTCCAAGCTTGAGAAGTATGGTTTGGGAATATAATTCAATAACGGAGAACAGCTCGCTGGAGAATCTGATATCGGCGCACGAGGCCTCCATTGGTTTCTTTGTAGTCGGTGAAGATCTCAGTGTAACAAAGATTCGGAGTGTGTCTAATCTTTTATCAGGTCTCTCCAGACTCCACAGCCTAACGCTTGAGAGCGAGTGCGTTGAGGTACATTAACTTCTCAATTCATGGATTGCTTATTGCACGTACTGATACAAGATTTGATTCGAACCTGAAAAGTTATATTAAAAATTTAAAAGATACAAGATTAGATCATAGTAAAAAAATGTAATAAAAAATACCTTAAAATACTTGGGGATTTGAAATTTCCAGATAGTACGATCGTGCCCCATAACACCCTTCGATCTATGTTTAATTGACTATCATGTTTAATGGAGTGTACTATCTAAGGAGTAAATTTCATGCATGTTAACTATAATGATTAATGCATTGGCAGATCATTAATACTAACATCAGTAAGTGTTGAGTACATTAGTAAGAAATATTTTACTCTCACGGAGAAAACACATGTTTAAACTTTGGAGATGATGTTATTGGAAGGGAGAATCACAGTCTCGAACATTACACAAGTATAATGAACATAAAAGATACTAAAAATTATAATAATTGATACCAAATAGATTAGATTTAAACCGCATGGAACTTATATATAGGGATTATTATGTAGCAGGTGTTGTCAAGCAGGAATTACATTGCAAACGTAATACATCCATTCAACCATCTCAAATCTCTGGAACTGCAGACTGGCTTCAACAGAGATAACGTCCCCAGTTTAGCTTATCTTTTCAAGAGCTCTCCTACGTTACACACTCTAATTCTCAAGATCCTCAATGATTACAAGATTGAAAGAAGAGTAACTGCCCACAAATTATTATCTTCTTTTTTGTTTTACTTCATGTTTAATTTAATCACATGGTTGTTCCACCTTTGTTCTTTTTTTGTTTTCACTCATTCAGAAATGGAATAAGGACTTGTGGGACATGCCTACCTCTGAGGAAGAACAATTCTGGGAATCCCAAACCCACGCTTTGAAACCCTTGCTAAACCACCTTAGTGTAGTGAAAATCCATGGGTTCTTAGAATGTGAGAATGAAGTTAGCCTAGCAAAGTTCTTGTTGAAGCACGGGAAAGCCTTGCAGGAAATGACCCTTTTCTCGGGACACTGCAACTACAGAGATTCCCTACGAAGACAAAAGATTAGGTCACAAATGATGGGATTTTCGCGGGCCTCCTCTAATGCAAAGATTCAATTTCTCTAAGCCTTATTTGCTTGTATTAACCAATCAAGGTCCTTTGAATTATGTGGGAAACAATGGATGTTTGATGTAGATTTGCAGCATCAATGGCATTGGCAACTTTATTGTGACTTCTACTAGTTTCTTCAGCAATTGTTGCATTAAACATTTGGTATTAGTAATGAATACACACAAAGAGAAGATAATAATTGCAGAGCGGAGGAAGAAACAGAGTTATACATTTGACAATAAAAGAGAAGATCATTAAATTCCTTTACCAATATTGAAGTATGCATTGTGTTAACTATTAAGATATTGTAACGAGTAAAAAGGGTCTTAAGTTAACATAAAATCATGTTAGAATCCAGCAGTTTTGAGCTCTTGTTCGAGTATTTCTTCGAGCAATAAGCGGGACTCTTCCATCAATCCGGGGCTTAATCTGAACATCAACACACAAAATTCCATCTCATTGAGAGCCCCGTCACCATCAAGATCGCCTTCCTTCACCATGCTTGCAAGCTCGTCATCTCTCAAATCTTGCAAGCCAAGCATTGCCGCGTTGCTCTTCAAGCTGGCCGCAGTGATCACCCCTTTGTCCCTGTCCATCAACACCTTGAAACCATTGCACAATTCCCTCATCAGCCCGTCTCCGCCCAGCTTCTCAGCCATCGCCGGCAATAAGTCCTCGAAATCGGGTGCTGTTTTACTAACCCCCCGCCATTGAGTGTTGCTAAATGCTAAATTGCTAATGACTATGATTATCCGCAAAGAAACTAATAAGTTGCTACTTTCTAATGTATTGAGATGCATTGGGGTTTATATAACAAGGGAGATGATAGATGAGGAAATTAAAGAGGTTTTTTCCTGGAAAGAAGATGGATTATGTTTTCCTTATGTATGACAGCGAAGGAACACGATTCTTTACTTCGGATCAGCTGATTCATGCAAAGCTGGAAAATAAAATAAAAACAAAAACTCTGCTTCGGGGAAGCTGTTGTCCGCACTATTTTCTAATGTTACTTAACCAAACAGGGTCATGTGTGAAATTTCATGGGTAATTTACTAATTCATGACTTAGAGCCTAAGGACTTTCCGGTTGAGAATAATATGCTACATCTTTCTTGGTAGCACTTCAGAATGCACGTGAACATTTTTAGTATTATTTTTTATCTGCGTCAGATAGAGGCAGCACATCCAGAATGCATGTGAACATTTTTAATATTATTATTATTTTTAATCTCAATTTATCATTAAATAAATAATAAATTGAGATCTAAACAATTGAATAGTTTAAACTACAGTTAAAAAGTAATAAAAAGGAATTTTGTCTTTGGAGGTTGAATTTGGTGTGTGTGCGATGTCAATTAAAAAAAAATATTTTTAACAAATACTATCTTATAATTACTTAGACTGTTCAAAAATAAAATAAAATTTATTGATTTGAACTTTGAATTATCAATTATAATAGAAAATAAAGTCAACTATAAAAATAATAGATAATACGTAGCTTTTCTCATGTGTCACGCATGCATGGATGTTGGCATTAATTAATGGAGAATGGTCTTATTTTTGCACATGAAATGTGGACGGGAAGGGTATAAATGTGGTGCCCGTATAAAAACATCCATAATTAGATAAACCTAACTTGATTTATAAGTGACACAATAATTCCCAATCATGCTTTCACATTTCCCACAATTGAACAACTAACATCGTAGCCTTTGTATGTGTGAATACGCAGTAACATTCAAATCTTGGGCAAATAATTAAACGATGACATTATTGATATTAATGATATAAACAAATATACAAATCAATATACATTTAAAACATGAGCACCTTGTGCTATACGATTACGGAGAGGAAGTTAGACAAGTGAAGGCAAGTACATGACATGTGGAGAACAAAGGAATCGCATCAATAGCAAGCTCCGTTCAAAACGAGGCCTTAACACAACAAGGGTCATCTCACCAATATAGAAAGCAAAATATTCCTTCACTAACCTTTTATTAGGCCTTGTGCATTAATAGTGGGGGAAGGGGGTATCTTTGATCATCATCTTCAAAAGAGAGGGGTAGTCCTAGACATCATATAGGCTTGAGACACCAGGTCAATATGACTGAAAGAAATTAACCAAGGAAGAGAGTGTCATAACTAGCATACTCCACTCAATACTTCATGACCACATGAGTAGTACTCCAGCCTACCCCCAATGAAGTCTTATCAATGGAAGGACACGTTATTGTGATTACCATGAGCAGAGAGGATAAGGTTGTGTATTCCTCGAGGGTATTATGGGGACAACAGTCAGGATCACCTGGACAAGTGAGACTTGAAACTTGAAACCTTCAAAATCCAACGCCTCATTGTTAACTATTACTAATATAAAAACAGAAAAACAAATGATGTCATCCCAATTTTTTTGCATAGTACAAGGATGAGAACCGTATTTTGATCAAGAACAATAACAATAATGAGAGAGCATTCTCAAACTATCGACATTCTTCGATAGAAAAAGTGGTTTCACTATTAGTTTCTGCATTACTGAGCTGTCAGAAAGAGATTTCATTGTCAGGTAAGCTGGCTGTTTAGGAATGGCAGGGCTTAAATTTTGGGTGCCAAGCATGAGCACAACATCGGCCATGGTGGGGAGCTCACTGGGATCTTCCTGCAGGCATAAAAGCCCAACATGTACGCACCTTATAAACTCACTCGCATTGCAACTCCACCGTATTGTCTCATCCATTAAATCCAATGCCTTGTCCCCTTGCCACAGTCTTCATCCCTGGACCAAAATATTCAGAGCTGCATTACTTGGCAATGGTATGGGGAAGGAAATTAGTCAAAGATTAATTCATATCTACTTGCATAATCAACAAGGCTGGGTGCATTTTCCACCTGATAAATTATCATGTTCTTTTTTCCGCTAATGATCTCGAACATAACTACACTGAAGCTAAAAACATCGGATTTTACCGAGAAAAATCCTTCTAATGCATATTCTGGCGCCATATATCCACTTCATTTAGCCACACTCATTATGATTAAATTCTGCCTTTTACTCACTTTGTTCCCATTACTATAACTGTGTTTGATTCGGTTTCTTTTCCTTGGATTATCCTCCCACGGCCGAAATCGGATATTTTCGGGTTCATCTCCGCATCCAATAGTATGTTACTAGTTTTCAAATCCCTCTGAATGATTCTCAATCTGGAATCTTGGTGAAGATAAAGCAATCCTCTAGCGATTCCCAAAATGATGTTGAAGCGTACCGACCAATCCAATTGCTGGCTTGATCATGATTCACCTTTACCATAAGATACATCATTCATCCCATAACATGCCTTCACGTACATATAAAATGAGGAAACAGTGGAGGTTATAGTGGCTAATTACCAAATAACAAAGAGTCTAAGCTTTTGTTGGGCATATATTCATTGAGTAGAATCTTTTCTTCTCCTCTTATGCAGTATCCCAATAGTCTCACAAGATTCCGATGTTGAAGTTTAGCGATAAATTGACCTCGTTCTTAAATTCCTCCAAGCCTTGTCCTGAAACACTTGAGAGCCTCTTTACAGAAACTTCTTCACCACCTTTGTTCTCCATGTGTAAACCGAAGCTACAGCGCACAAAATGGTCATCCCAATTGGCAGAGATATTCCAAGGATCAAAGGGAGTGGCTTGCTTTTATCAGGAGACCTTACCAACTGTCCAGCTACTGCAATAATAGGGAAATTGCAGTAAATGTAACACAGGTCTACGCATCAAATTGAGTACTAACCTTGAGACAATTCAAAGCCGAGCCATCCCAATGAAAGGTTGAACCGCAAAGGCACCGTCTTCGTCCATTTCCCGTTTCATTACAAGTTGAATGCGGCCAGTCCTTGCAGTCTGCAGATGGAGTACAGATTGGCTCCGGCGGTGGCTTCCAACTAATTTGTACATCAACCATACCATTTAGTGAAGAATCAGAAGTTGTCAAGTTGCCAACATCTCCTCTGCAGTTGCTGATCACATTGAATGGTGATGATCGATCGAACTGCAAAATTCTGCTTGCTAAAGAATGCATAGCATAACAATTAGTTGCCTCTTCGGTCTTCACTTGGATGATAAATGTCCGTGCGTGACGATTGACTGTAACGACACTATAGTTGCCATTAGGTGCCATGAAACTTAGTCTGTATTGTTATTACAGTAGAAACTAAAGTACATTGGATCACCGCATTTTGGTCCGGTACTTGGGGGATAAGGGACCATGTTTGTGCCACAAGTCTCACAATTTTTAACTGTTGTTTGTGCAAAGTAGAAAAGACAGTAAATCCAAGTTGAGTATTTTTCCATTGCTCATTGGTGCAGAGTAAAGTACCAGACAGACAGCGCTACCAGTGCGTGGAGATCGTAGCTGCGTCTTGACCCTCCTGAAGATTTTCGAGATCCCCGACTATATCAAACATGAAGTAGTGGAGTCTCTCTGGCCAACAAATGAATAAGGCTGGCACTGGCGCTTCTTGAGGCACTCTTCCCTGCATTCTATTTCATCCTTTGCCTCACATGATGAGTCTGAATCTTCCAATTTCATTCTTTTAAACGTCAAGAAGTCATTGCCACATGATGATTTATAATTTCTGCAGCAACCGTCCGAAAAATATCCGGCATACCATTTCTCCCAGAATTTAGGTTTGGAACCCGGCAAACATTTGTGGAAACCTACTGTTGCCCGTACAGATGCCAAAGTTGCCACAAAATTTGAACTTACTACAAACATTCTTTGGCTCCAACCATATCAAGGACCAACTTTTATTGTCTGTACCCAACTGCCAATACTGCAAATAACCAGTAGAATTTATCACCATTCTTTTTCTTGGTAAACTTTTATGTTACCCTGGCTAAAATTCATGAATCTCACTGTTGCAGAAGACAGTTCATCTGATTTATTGATCTTCTTGTCTAGTAAACTTGTGCGTCACCCTGGATAAAATCCAAGAATTCGACTATTGTAGAAGGCAGTTCATTTGATTTAACGATATGACATGAATCAAGCTTACTTGACCTCCAGTAAATGTGCTCTTCTCCACTACACAAGCTGCTTTCTCCCTTGTGGATCTTGCTTGAATGGGAAGTTAATAATGATTTACGTACTAAACTTGTAGTTATCCATTTTTTAAAAGGTGATATTTGATTAAGAAAATCTAATATATTTACAATAATTCGAGGGGGGATCACGGGCGAGTGCAGCGCAAGTCCGCAAAATGGTAAAATCTTAGCGGTTATTAAGATATCTTTTTGCCTTGGCCAGTGATCATCAAGATTAAATACGAAGCAGCAAATCAAGAGAAGACAGCGAGATAACACCAGCCGTACACGCAATCGACCCGAATCAACACCAATCCACGTGGCTAATCCTTGGCCCTGAAGGAGGAAGAGAATCTGAATCTCGGGCGATCAACTAACGACACGTGGCAACACGTGAGGGTTCTAACCGAATGAATGAAAAACATAGCAGAGCAGAGAAGTGGTTGTGCACAGCCACCGCTTAATAACAAAATAACAAAATATTTTCCAAACAAACGGAGGAAACGAGCCAAAGGGCGAAACAGAAGGTAAAGGGAGCTAAATTTAATGCCACATATAAACAATACATTACAACATCTGGCTCATCTTCCCACCACACCCCCTTTACCCCCCTCACTTCCCTTTCTTTCCATTTCCGCTATTACTTTCTCCTCTTCTACAGTGCCCTATATCACAATTTTACCCCTATTTTTATTTTCCAATTTGATTATTACATATTAGATGAAATGAAATAAAAATAAAAGAATTTACTTGTAAACAAGTAAAGACTGCAAAGGAAAGACTGCACCAAATAAGATTTATCAATGACTGCACGTGTAATATTTGTGGTGTTGTTATGGAAAATCGAAATCATTTGCTCTTTGATTATCCAACTGCTGCTTCTCTTTAGGCAACAATCTTCTCCCTTAGTGGTATGAATGGTTTACATAATCACTACTTGTCATGGAATGATTTCTTAGTTTGGGCCTCTATGTTTTGGAAAGGTAAATCGCTGATCACTTATATCTTGAAGGTTGCTTCCACCGCTCTAATCTACATCCTATGGGAGGAAAAAAACAAAAGGATCTTCAAAGATAAATCTAGAACTTTTGAAGAACTGCTACAAGCTATTAAGGAAACAGTTGGTTTGCAACTAAAGGTAGAAACCTTATTTGATGTGTAAATATTACTTTATGTAGAAATTGAGGTATTGATTGATTGTTGTTTATTTTTGTATGTAGGACAATCTCTGTATTCTGAACACTGATTTTTTATAGTATGTTTTTACTATTTGGGTAATAAAAATCAAATTATCCAAAACAATAAAAATAAAAGAATTTACTTGTAAATAAGTAAAGTATACAAATAATCTTTAATTACATAGTGTTGTTATTTTTAATTTTTTTATTATTTAAAGTTACAAAATCAGATTATAGAGTGTTATTTTATTGAATCATCGCCCAATTATTTATATGTTCTAAAATTATTTTTTTCCGTTAAAAAAATGACAGCTGCCTAAGTTTGATGTTATCCGTTGACTAATATATGATAAAATATGATCTAAAATCATTTAAGTTGTATTTTATGGATCAACTCTCTGTTTACATTACACTATCAAGCTAATACTTGAAATATTATATTGTCGAGATAGTGATTGAAAGTAACAATAATACCATCACACATAATTAAAATATATTTTTATTATATTTCAATCAATATATTAACTTCCAGTTCATACAGTTATTTTTTAATAAAAAAATAAATTTAAAATATATAAATAATTGAGTGATAATTTAATAAATATTAATAGTTTAGGACTAAATAAAATATTCCTTATACTCAAAATATCATTCTATTCTTTTAATAATATGATTTAATAAAATAATATTATAATTAGGACGCCTTTTATGTACTTTATCTCTTGTAAATTTGTTTCTTAATAACCATTTCGAATGTAACAAAAAGGAACACAAAGCAAAAGGATAGAAAATTCTTGATTGGATTATTATTTTGTTTTTAAATTTTATTCAAACTTATGAACTTAAATAATGTAAAAAGGTGGAAAATGTTAGTTAAAAAGACTGTGCAAAGGTGAAAAATGTATTTTTGTATAAACAAAAAAAATAATTAAATTAAAATAGTTGTATTTTTTTAGACACAATGTTATGTAAGTGGTGGTGGTACTGCCAGCTTGGTTGGTAAACTGCAAGTATTTTAATGGTAAATTTGTAATTTAGAGCAACAAGAGGGCTGTTTCTACAAATCACTGCAGTTTGATGTTTCCATTCTCTTCCTTTCCAATCGTCCATTCTCTGCATATATACAAGAAAGAGAAAATTGTTGTCAAAAAAGTTATTGACAAAAAATATTCTCTTAGAAAACGAAAGAAGAAGAAACCGGCAGATAGGCCAAGCCAAAGCATCTCTCTCTGATTTTGGTTGAAAGGAGCGAAATGAAGAGCTGTGAGCTTTGCGATTTGGTGGCAAGGACTTATTGTGAATCGGACCAAGCGAGTTTGTGCTGGGGCTGTGATGCTAGAGTGCACGGAGCCAACTTCCTCGTGGCGCGGCACGTGAGGTGTCTTCTCTGCCACGCGTGCCACTCTCTTACGTTGTGGAGAGCCGCCGGTTCCAAGCTCGGTCACACGGTCTCCGTCTGTGAGATGTGCGTCAATGGCGGTGATCGAGAGGGCAGAGAAGCGGAAAATGAAGAAGACGAAAGAGCTGTTTCTGATAACGACGCGGAGGAGGACGGAGACAATCAGGTGGTGCCGTGGTCCACAGTTGCAAATACCCCTCCGCCGGCTTCAAGTTCATCTGGTAGCGAAGAATATTCCGTTGGCAGGAGAGAGGACTGTAAATCAACAAATTTGTTTCCGTTGAAAAAATCGAGAGAAAATGCTTCAGATCTTCGTTATCATGTTGGTTTTTATTTTTTCTTTGTTATTTCATTTTAAATTCTCATTCTTATTTTCCTTCTCTGTGTTGTTTAATATTTTTCTCCGTTTTATTTATTTGTCATTGTTATTTGCAGGACGAACTGGATCCATTATATCCTAAACGGAGATACGGTTACCGTACTGTTTCGTCGACTCCGTGCAGAGTGGAGGATGAAACCGTCGACGAGGCCGTTTCAGTTGATTCTATAAGGATGTTAAAAGAACAGTTGATCAAACAGGACGATGCCGTTCAGTTACTGTCCGATTCGAGTGATTCGACAGACACGGCGAGTACATAGTCATTAAGGAGTAAAAAATAGAGCCTAAAAAAATCCAGTAAAACTTCTTTAAACCTGTTAGTATTAGTAAGTGCCTGGCTGTTTGATTGAGTTGGATTGGCCGTGAGATTTCTGATGATCTAACCTATTCTTAACGATAGTCCATGATTATTACTCTCTGATGGGATTTGTTTACCCTGTTTTGATAGTTTTGTGTGCTGATTTACCGAGAAGAATTTTACTTGTTTGATCTCTGGGTGAGATTTTGTAATCTGACTTTTTACCATTATGTCATGTTTATTGGATTATCGTCTCCAGCCAACTGTTTGTTTGTAATGTTGTTGTCTTAATGATATTTGTTAAAATTTTAGGAGTAAATAAATTTATTAATTTTTAAAGAATAAAATATTTAAAATATATTTTAATTCAAGACTTTTAGGTGCTCGATTATCCTTTTTAACCCTTTGTTGTCTATCTCTAAATGTAGAGGAAAACGAAGGGGGTTTGATGTTATGCACTTAAATTTGCAGTATTATCGGTTTCATATAAGTTAATATTGGCAACAGCGGACGAAAATTGAGCTGAGCTTGCCTCGTGCCTGCTGCACTGCAACTTCTCGATCGCTTCCAACGAAACCTCTATAAATAACTTTCTATATATTAAAAATAATATCCATACGAGTCTAACATTTTGTTTATAAAAAATCTAACGATTTCATATTTTTTTAATCACACTAAACTAAAAAGTAAATAATTATTTAAAAAATAAAATTTTAAAATGTATTAATCGAGAGTAAAAAATCTTCAACCTATTTATAAGTGGCAAGCATTAACTTGGGTGCCACGTGTTTGAGTATTGCCCCGCAAGCTCATTTCATGTATCCAGAGGCCACAGCCATGCGATTTGAGCTAGAAATATCTTGAGTCTAGAAATATTTTTTTAAGGGGAATATATTTATATATTAATTATATACTTTTTTTTATAAGATGAGTACGTATAGTTAAAAAAAGAAATAATTATTTGAAGAGATGATGTGTATATCCTCCTTTCTTAGTGTATCCTCCTCTCGTCATTACAAGTAATTTTTTTTTTGTTAAATAAAGGTCGGTGGTTGAAATGAGGAGAGAAATATGTATATATATCATGGTTTTAGTTGTGAGTCATGGCTTTGTTTGTGTTCAAGTTACGAGTCATGGTCTTGTTAGTCTTCGAACTCGGTATTTGTTCAACAAGGAGTAGAGGGAAGATATTTTGTGACAGTGTTAATAATTTTGTAGGAATATGACACTCAAACTTCCACAACCATGAAATTTGGAAAGGAAGTAATACAATTTGGTAACTTTGTGACATAGAGATGTATGGGCTGCCAATCGCCATCACATAAGGTGGGTGGGGGAGGCTTTCTACTTTACATTGCAAAACTATAAAGTAGAAACTATATTTACAAATGGAATAATCAAACCATAAAAGGAAATTGTCATAAAATATGGAAAGAATAGTTGAAGTGGTGGGGGCATTGGCGAATTAGCAGTGGAGATTTCTTGGATTCTTGGGGTGGAATTTGTGGTGGTTAGAAGTGAGTATTGGAATCGAAGAAAAAAAAATCAAATTAGCTTTTTTAATATCATTTAAATTTAATTTAAAATTAATTTCAGTTAGAGTGATATAATTAAATTCAAATTGAATCAAAAACATTCATTCAAGCTCTTATTTAAGTTTAAATATAATTAGTTATAATACCATGGTACTAGTTTGTTTTAATTTATATAACTCTTTGTAATCATATATATGTTTGCATAATTACGTAAGATTTGTAACATTATTCAATAAATTAAATATATCTAAAACTATATGATATACTTAGAATATTATTTGTTAAAAAAGATATTTTAAGAATAAAATATTGGATAAAGGAGTCAAGAAATTGGTAAGAAGAAAAAATTGTAAAGAGTTACAATCGGATGACTAAATTGAGTAAAATATAAAGTTGAGATTAAATTAACTAAAAAAGAGAAAATTTGTTTTCAAAATGAAAAATTGAAATTACGTAAGTATTCTATAGTGGTAGAGGAACATGTGGGGCTCAAATTTGGTAAAAATAAACTTTCAATGAATGAGGAATTAAGAAACAAGGAAACCATACAAAGCTAAGTGACTAAATTGAAAAAAATATTAAATTTATTGAAAAAATTTGAAGCTACATAGGTGTTATTCATTGATTGAAGAGGATGTGGTTCGAATTTGATTAAAAAACCGAATTCAATTTAAACTAAAAATCCAAACTAAAATCTAAATTCGATTCAAACTTAAAATCCAAGCTAAAGATTAATGGACTTACCACACAAATTGCAACAGGACTGTAAATTAGTCGAGTCGAGCTCAGGTATTGCTAAGCTCAACTCAACTCAAAAACTCAAGAGCCTAAAATCGTCAAGCTTGAATTGAACTTAAAATCAAAATTTGAAGCTCAACTCGGCTCGAAAGCTTGCGAGCTTAAAATTTCAAACTCGACTCGAGCTCGAAAAAACTTGAACTCGAAACGTTCTCAACTTAGCTCGATTGAAGCTCAGACTCGAGCTTGAAAAATCTTGAACTCTTCTCAAACTTAGTTCAATTGAAGCTCAAACTTGAGCTCAATTCAAGCTCGAACTCGAGTTTGAACTTGAATCATAAGTACATGAAATTCTTATGTTGTATTAAAAAATAACATATAAATGTTAATATTATTAATAATTTGATTTAAAAAGGGTAAACTATATCAGATACCACCAAACTTTAGGCATTATATCATTTAGAATATTGAACTTCGATTTTCGTTTCAATTATACCACTGAACCGTTAAATCATTAACGACATGATGACGTGGTTGACGGCTACCGATGTGGTAGACGGCTATCAACGTAGACACCTCACCAAAATGACGTCATTTTGATATGGTTGTTAACGATTTAACATTCCAGTGGTATAATTGAAATGAAAATTAAAGTTCAGTGCTATAATTGACAAAATTGAAAGTTCAATGGTATAGATGATACATAGCCTAAAGTTCGGTCGTATCTGGTGTAGATTATCCTTTAAAAATTAAAAATTTTATATATCATTTTTTTGAGTTGCTGTCGAGCTTTTTGAGTCGGGTATCAAGTAACTTACTTTGACTGGTAGAACTCGAGTCGAATCTAGTTCAAGTTCATTCGATTCAAGTGTTGACCGAATCGAATTCGAGTAACTCACGATCTATGTCATCTTATTTACCATCCTAACTGCATATATACATATTTTAAGATGGTGAGATTGCTATGATGAACTTGGCATGGTTTTTAGTTCAAAGAACATAATTGTCCAAACAAGAATCGGGTAAAACACTCCCAAGCAGTGCTACTACGAAGTGTTGGTAGTTGGACATTGTTCTCGGCTGGAGTCCAAACACTTAATGATATGAATGAAGAGAATAACCATTAAGGAGAAAGAAATGTCAACATCCTCCAATTCCAAACCCAAACAATTAATTATACATTAGAGGTGAAGATATCCAAATGTGGATTACATTTATTCAACACATTGGTGCCAAGTTTCAGTGTCAATATATACTTCATTCTGCCGCAGGCAAGCAGTGTTTTAACCTCACAAAAAAGGAAGCAACCTAAGTTCCAAAACTAAAAAAAGAGTAAATAAATTAACATGTAATTATGGTTTACTGTTAAGAAATTCTAAAATTATCCTTTTTCTATTGTGACCTTAGTTTCTATAGTGCTCACATCATTTAGATTTTCTGATATTTTTTTTTCTGATACATGTATCACTATGAATCTTGGTGGAGTTTGGACAACCAAAAGAATTTTTACATAATATAGGGTCCAATAGAATTATACGTCGTGTTTGAACCTCATTTCATTCTTTTTCATTACCTATTGCGAGAAATCATATTTATGTACCTTAAACATTTGTAAAAGTCGGAATCAATGTATCTTTTGTAACCAATGCTGATATGTGAACATACGATTATGCATGACAACATTGATACTTGAGAACTTAAAAGAAGTCACAATCGCACCACCCTTCTTATAGATTTACCTTAAGATAGTTTGCTTAAATACCTTCAAGATGTCCTAGCATCTTCGTAATATGAAACGAATCTTATGTACGAGAAACACTTAAAACCAACATCCCTTTGAGACTACAACTTTCTTTAGTAGGTCTACTGCTAATTTTATATATAAAATATTTTTTGATTCATGTAATTAAGGGCTTTTCCCTTAATTTCCTGAAAATATGATTTTATAAAATATTTTTAAAATGGTGATTTTATGGGTCTTCATTGTATATAGTAGTGCTTTAATTGATTCATTGTCATTAAATTTTAGATTTTATTATAAAATGGACGCAACTCCATTAACTGTTGTTAAAAAGGTGATATGATATACTAAATTAATGAAAATTATTCCATTTGATCTTTAATTATAACTAATATACTAAAGTGCTAGCATCAGAAAAATCTGAAAAACACTTTTATGTCCTATACTTGCATCAAGTCGTAGAGAAAATACGCAAAATCCTCATAATACATGTGTCAATAGGCAATGGCAGCTCAAATCCACACTTTTCCATGGGTGGTGGATAACCATCTTGGTTGTAGATATTGTCTGCAACAAAGGGCTAACTCCAGAGATCTTCACTGCTTTGAGCTTCGTATATTTCCGAAGGAACACAAGCATCTTCTATAATAACATTAAAGCCGGACATACAACTACTGTCCGAACTAGAGGACAATTCAGTAGCTGAAAATGTTGCTGGAGACAGAAGTGAACAGTCTAACATCATGTTGGCAGGAGCATCAACAAGGATGCTTTCAGCTCCACTTTCTCCAAAATTCTGGGTGGCTTCACCTGGAGACAAGTAGAGCCGCCTTTCACATCGGATGTTGTCAGATTTTGCATTGTACGCCTCACTAGATGGGAGTGCCACTGATTTTTTTATTTTGTTGTCTGTTCTTCCAGGTAAGCTTTTGGCGGTGGCGATGGCGATGGTGGACCA